CCCCCCCCCCCCCCCCCCCCCCCCCCCCTTTGTGTGCGGTGAGCTGGAGAGAAGGCAGTCTATTTATTTTGGTTGGAAAAAAAAACCCCTAACATATATGGATTTGAATCAGAATATTGTGTTGGATCAAAACATATTGTACATTTTGAGAATTCTTACATCTATTACAATACATTTTGAGCTTTGGACAATGTTTGGATCAAACGAGCCAGAAACAACCTTAAGCAGCCACCACTGGAATATTATTGCAGTAATATTATAATACTAGTAGCCTTATATTAGTGTAGCCTAATATTGATCGACAAATATTTAGAAATAAATCTGGTTCTGCCTGCCTGCCTCATCGCACTCTGCCCTGCTGCATTACCATGTATAGTATTTACATCATAATGATCCTTTTTTGGTTGCAGAGCTTTAGAGGCTTTAAGAGACGAACTGTCAATGATGCCAACTTGGCGACCTACAAACTAGATATAGCAATCTTGGAGCTATTGCGGCTAGCTACTTTCATTGGAAAGAGTCTCTAATTTTTTTGTATGTATATATTTAATATATCCATCCCAAGCTTACCTACCCAACTGAATGAATTCACACATTCAAGTAAATAGAAAGACAGCACAGCATTCAAGTGTTTATTGAGAATTTGAACTTCAACGTTAATGGAAAAGCTCCAAACTTTTCTCTACAGCCCTTAGTATCAAGAAATCCTTCTAGTTCCTTTACATGTGGATAGGAAAACAGCACAGATTGTTCAGAATATATGAGGAAGCCATCAGGGAAGCAGCATGACCCAAGGCAGGGACTGCAGAGACAGGTTCAGCCACGACCCCGAAGTCCACGACCCGAAGTCCACGACGGGCAGCGTCCGGGAAAACCAAACTTGAAGGTAAGATATCAAAGGATGATCTTCATTAATTGCAGTGACAATTTAGTCTATTCTGACATTTGTTTGTGTGAGTTAATCTTTACCTATGATATCTGGTTGCAGAAGGGGACTGCAATAGCCTGGATGTTGGTCATCAGAGTAGATGCCCTGCAATTCTCCTCTTTTACCTTTCCCAACATATCCTATGAATAGAAAAGAAAATATTGTAATTGAATCACACTAGGACCACAACACCTAAATATGTAATGACACATAAACATTATTATCCAGAATAAGAAGTCTACCTGGTTTGCAGTTTTTGTAAGGCTCCAAGCATCCACGGCAGGTGTCAATGGTGTACATGACGTTGAAATCCTGCTTGTATGAAGCAGAGAACAAACTCCATGTAGGCAACACCGTGTAAAACAAGCATTTCAATAGAGCCATTAAAAATATGCATAGACACCACAGCTGTCGTATACTGCTGCACCTTCACTGAATCACTTACTCTCAAGCCAGCGAAAGTGGGCCCCTCTTCTGAAAGACACAGTGGACATTGTGTCTCTGAAGGTGGTACACACTAGAGTGAGTGATTGAGTACGCTTTGTCACCTTCCTGGAGAACCACTTCCATCAGAAGGTCCGAGAGAAGACAGTTTGGCAGCTGTGAAGTATTGGTCAGACTAGATCAAACATATTTAACAACACATTGACTAGACTGTTGCCAGCACAATCGAATACCAGATTCTTTGGGCTTCAGGTAGCAAAAATACACATTTTTAATATTAATGTTGAATATATCACACACATTTTTCTTATGTTTTGTTATTCTTCTCCTTGAGGTAAAAAACAGCTATCAATAAAGTTAAAAAAAGCAGTGAGACATAATAGTTGGAAATTCTGCCGTGATCATAGGTCGTTTTTTAAACAAAAAACAGTTACTGCTTCACTGAAAAGATATTACCTCCAATATGAAGCACATGTCGGACTTTTGAAACTGGACCTTTGAAGGAAAATATAAGGTGTGGGTCATGTGATTGTTTAATTACATGTGTATACAATTATCAATATTGATATGTATGCATGTGTTAAATAATCTGGATTGTTACATTTCTTTATCACAAACAGGAGTGTGCCTATTGACCTCATGTTCTGTCTTTTGCTTCTTTGAGACCCTGTACACTGGCTCCAGTGCCCCTTTGAGCAGCTCTTCGGCCTCATTGGTCCAGTAAGAAAACCTCTGTCCGTGGCTATAAAAATCACATAATATCAGGATGAAAATGTAAATCAGTGTCAAAGAAACTGTTGTCTATAAAGTAACATTTAAAATGTATGATTTACCCTTCAATCTGGTACCGTTCCATGAGCATAATGCACCACCATTTCCGGATCTGTGCTATGTCCCGCTAAAAGAAAATGTAACAATAATAAAGTTGAAAATGAATGGAACCTCATCATTTGTCTACTCAATGTTAGCCCCCTCTTCCCCCTGAAATACTAACTCAGAGGATAAATACTGACCTCGGTAACCAAAGTGGAGCATCTGTGCTGAAGTTCAGTGCATACTGTGAAAGGATAAAGATCTGTTAAGTTATGAGTTTCAAAAACTAACAAAACCCCTTAAAAAAAAGTGTCAAGGGAGGAATTTACCATCAGTATGAAGACACCACAGTCATTGCCCGTGGTTTGGTGAGGCAAACCCTGTAAGAATTTGGAATATAACAGTGATGTTCATGGTCAAATGGAAAATAAAGACATGTGAAAGCAGGTGTATGAGATGGTGGAGAAATGTACCTTGACGTCTCTGCCGAACTTTACTGTCCACTGACCTGGAGCAATGCGGTGCGCTAGGTCACTGTCAAAAGAAATGATAAGACATGGGAATTGATTTGGTGAAGGAACGCTATACTCAATATAATTCATGTTTTTGGATTTCCTTACATTGAACTATTGCATGCCTTAAAAGAGGAAAGTTATGAAAGCCACTGAACGGGGCTAAAATAAAACAAACAAAAATACGTTTACCAGCCTCTGAACAAAGCTGAACTTGAAAACAACCTTTGAACAAGGCTTATAACAAAATGAACATTATAATTCATAGCATCCTGTTGCAGACTCTTTTTCTTTTGGTTCCACTAAGGACACTCCAGACTTTGTGGAAATGGAGATATATTATAAATGAATTTGATCAGATTCAGACCCCTGGTCTACAAGATGGTTACTGCAGTATTAGAATACTATAAACTATTTAGAACTCCCATACAAGCCACAGAACGGTGGGGGGTAATCATGTTACAAAAACCTAAATATGTCCTTGTAGGAATTGTCCCCAAAGCCATCTGGCTTAAGAGGGTCGAGCAAATATAACTCTCTCTTTGCTGGCTTGATCACCTGTCAACCATTGACAAAATAGCTGAAATTAGACATAATCAAACACCAGAAGAAAACCACACAGCACAACTTATGTTCATTTTGTACATGCTGGTGAGATCATTTGGAACAGACTCACGCAAAGCAAATAGTGATCTGCCTTTCCTTGCTGCCGACTCCAGGCAGGGATGAAAACCATGTCCTTGGTGGCCAATTGGTCAGCCTAGTATTTTAAACAAGGGATTTTAAGTTGCTGTATATCAATTTCAAGAAACATAGGTCTCAAGCAACAGGAACTTACTGGAAAACTGGCCAACGCGTCAGCTGTTTTGGACTTCCAGGTAGGAACCACATACATATCCACGATGTATATATCTTTGCCCTATATTGATAGTTTTTCAAAAAAAATGAAATCTTCATAGAAGTATGTTCAACAACAAGAGACAACCACACTTCACGAGATTGGAGTTTCACCACTAAACAGCTATTTAGAAAATATGTGTTATTCAAAAGAAAAAAGCAGGCCAATGATGTCTGTTGAAAACCGTACATGTCTTTGGGTGGCTTCTTGTACCATCTTCAGGCACGTGTTTCCAATCTGAAACAGTAACAACAGTAAGTTACCTGTGCCATTTATTTGAGACAAGATGAAGTTGGGAGGAAAGCTCAAGTATACCTACATTTGACTCCATGCACTGAGGAAGACCCAGGCTCCAAAAGTCCTTTCTGGTCAGGCACACATCACCCTCCTTCACAATGACCTCTGCTCCAGGCCTATTGTGGTCTAGCACATAGCTGAGCTGCAAATAACAGATTGCAAAACATACTTCAAGCCAATAGAAAACATAGAAAAATTCAAATCAAATCACTGTGCATGAAGTAAACATATATCTACCAGCTTGTCTTGAATCGGATGTAGATCCTTTGCGTATTTCGCACCAGAGAGGGCATACTGGTGGTCAGCAACAGACCCCTCCGAATCCAACTTCGGTTCAGCTGTTATTAGATAGACAAAAAATAAACAGTATTATTGAAGTACCACACATGAAGTATACCTAAAATGTGTCCTTGTATTGATAATCAAAATACCTCTCAACATAGGCCTGATAAAGGGCTTCAGCTGAGACACATTCACACTCTGTCTCAGCTGAGCTCCTGTTGAGCTCAACAGGGTTGCCACACCCTTGTTGGTGATTGAGGAAACCACATAAGGGCCAAACCAGTTGCACTCCAGTTTTCCACCTTTTCGGCCCTCCTTCCTCTTATTCGCTCTTAGGACCTCATCTCCAACGTTAATCAGGAAAGATTTCACATTCTTTCCCTTGCGTTTTTCAAAAGAGATTTTCTGTCTCTGTTGTGCTATTTGGATGTTCTGGTAAATCTGAGAAAGATATGTAACAGTTATCATTTACAGTCCTTAACATACGCTTGCATTTTTTAGGAGTTATTATGTTTTAAATATTGCCATTTTATTCTCACCTCCGAGTGCACATCTGCAATGGTTGCAGCCTTTGCCTCAAGCTGCTGTTCTGCCTCATCAGCAGGCACCAAAACAGAGGTATCATCCCTGTCATTGACTGTAGCATTTATAACACCCGGGACGCGAGGGTGCCTCCCAAACTGGGCAAAATAGGGCGTGCACTTGGTTGACCTCTGAAAGCATAAAAATTCCTTTTAGTATCTCTGTTGAGTATTGTTTCCATCTGCATTTGTTACAACATTGTACCTGCTTTGAGGTGTTAATGCTCGCCACAATGCCCCTCAGATGTAAATCCCAGTCATTCTGGTCCTCTCCACAGTACTTTGCAAGTGCTTTTTTTATGTTTTGGTTTGTACGCTCATCTTGGCCATTGCACTGGGGATGGTACGCTGAAGTGATGCAGTGTTTTACACCCAGTGCATCAAAAAACACCACGGTTGACCTGCAGATGGTTTAGTGTACACCAATTACCAAATTACCTGAAAAATCGTATTACATTGTTACACATAACACATACACTGTATTAGATAGATTATTGTACCTCATTGACAAATTCCCGTCCTTGGTCAGTAATGATCTTCTCGACAAGACCGAAATCGAGAAGAATATTTACAATCTTTTTTGAGACCTCAACAGCTGTTTTGTGGTAGAGCGTTTTTGCTACCACCCACTTTGTGAACAGATCAGTCGCTGTTAGAATGTATCTGCAATATAAAATGCAGAATGTTGTAAATACATACAGAATCACTGTAAATGATTTCCTTTCTTTTGAAACCAGATTCTTCACGTTTAGAACCTTTTAAAGGAGGTTACACATGCTTCAGCCCATCATGATAGTACCTTTTGCCCTTAGCAGTGGAGGGAAGTGGGCCAATGAGATCCACACCAAGGACAGTCCATGCCTCGGGAACATGAATGGGATGCAGTACGGGTGCAACCGTTTTAATGACCTCGTGTTGCTGGCAGCGGGGACACTCATCAACCTTAGCAAATATCATACATTTTCAATCAGCAAAACAAAAAACTTTAGGTATAAAAATGATAGAACAGAGAAAACTTTCAGAGGAGACAGAATTAAACTGTTAAAGTTCTGAAATATGTTTTCTCTGCTCTGATGGAGCTCAAACTGTCTCACTCTGTTTCAATGTACACATACAACACATTTCTGTAGATCAATAATCAGTCAGTCAGTCAAAATCTCCCACCCATTTCTTCACGTCCTCCCGCATAGTGGACCAGTGGTACGTTGCCAAAACCTTCTCGGTGGTGCGCCTTCTCCCTGCATGACCTCCGGAACCCAGGTTATCATGGCACTCCTTCAGGACATTGATAATTTGGTCCTTGGTGCACACAACCATCCTCTCATTGTCCTTGTATGTGTAGTACAAATCTCCAGCTGGCACAACAGGAACAACAAAACAATCATTTAGACATGTGTAGAGATGACATTATGACTAAAAGCTGTTCAAGAAATCCAGTGGCAAATGTGGTTTAGACGTAACAACTACAGTAATGTAAAGTGTGTATAAAAGAAAAAAGGAGAAACAAGCTGTGGAGTCCTTGCGATTTACTGAAAAATGTTGGAATTGCAATATGATAAACCATTAGAGGTATGATCACTTTTGCACCAAAAAACACCATTAGATAAATAGATAGATAGATATATACTTTATTGATCCCTATAAGTAAAGGGATGTGATGATGTCACATGTACAGGGGGTTTATACCTCATAATAAAAACGTATGTTCGTGACTTAACCATGGTCTTATTCTGTTACTTACCTTTGATCAGGTATTGTTTGGATGCCCTCCGAATGAACGCCTTCCTTTTATCATGCTTTTCAGCGGCGATGGTGAGATTGTGGTAACCACCATTGAGCACGTACTGCTTTATCTCAGCATAAAAGCTCTCCATTTCTGTCATGAAAGTTAAAATGGTCGCGGTAATTATGGGGAAGCGGAGGGATCTAGATCGTTCACACATAACAAGCTGTACCGAGTTCCTCCGGCTGCAGTTCCGCAGACGGCCGGTGTGTGGCAGCATAGCGCTGGGAGCAGAGGGAGGTGAGTATATGACGGATATGACGGATGACGGATGCGACGGAAATACACCCGAACATATCTGGTAGGCCGAACATATCTGGTACTGACACCGGAAGTCCCCGGAGTTGGGGACTGGCTTCAGTAGAAGCTGCTGGGAGTCCCAGCAGCCTTCCGAGTAAATCGCCAGAACGCCGACACCTCCTCATCTCCACCGCTCCCATGTTTTATTTTGTGTTGCCATAAGTGAGTCTCTCTGCGTTTCTGCGCTGGGCTAATGCTAATGCTAATAATGCTAATGCGAGGATAATAAAATGGCGGCTTCACAAAACTTTTTGGGAGTTTTACGGGGCGTGGTTTGCAATCCGCCCAGCCAATCAGAAATATAGCTCTTTTCTCACAAGAGGCTCTCTTGTGAGAAAGTCCCTGCTCTCTAGCAGCTCTCTGCTCTCTAGCAGGGACTTTCGTGGGGGTAAAAAGGTTCTCGTGAACTAATTTTAGTACCGGCTCTTTTTGGTGTGAACGCGATAAAAGAGGCTAACGTCCACGCTAGCTTCCACGCTAGCTGCTATATGTTTTGCATTGAGGTGATACTTGAAGCTTGATGTGCTGCGGTGATATGCGAATTCCTTTTTGCATAATTTGCACACAACCCTGCTCTTATCGACGCTTCCATCCGTCCGTTTTTTAAAACAACATTTCCCACTGTGGTTTGTTGTTGTCTGAAGTCATGAACGTTAGTTGGTGCTCCAGTATAATCGGTACGCCTGAAACTCATCCAGTGAGAAACGTTCCGCGGTGCAAAAATAAGTGCGATTAAAATGCGTTAATTTTTGTGTAATTAATTAATCTTAATTAACGCGTTAAAGTCCCGGCCCTAGAAAATATACATAGTGTGAACAGCTATCTTACCTGTTAACATATACATGGTTAAAGAGCCTGTTGCTGTTGTTTATTGCTTTGAATTGTTTAAAACAAATATTATCTTCTTAAACTTGAATGGTAGTCAGGAGCATCACTTCCTAATGTTTGATATATTTAGAGGGAGGGAAGGAAGGTTTCAAAATTCTGATTAGATTCATTTCTACAATTTCTTTAATTCATGGTGGTTTCAGTAATCCCCTGGTAATTGAGGACATAAGTAATCTAAATAAGTAATGTCTTCTTTATGACTTTCAGAAAGGACAGGAGACCGACAGGTGCCTATCAATGATTGTCAACTGACAGTAAATAAATGGAATTCAATAAACATTGAATAGCATGCCTGCAGTTTGTCTGTGCCTTTTCCTCTGTGTTGTCCTGGCATATAGTCTCCCCCATGGTTTGCTGTGCTGCCGGGGGATGCTCCAATCGCTCAGAGAAAGGAGTACACATGTAAGGTTTCCCCACTGACACAGAGAGGAGGAAAGAATGGCTGGCTCAAGTCAGCAGGAGCAATTTAACTATCACAAAAGACAACAACAGCAACAACATATGTGAGGTAATCATATTTTTCACAAAACGAAGACCACACCATCGGGAAGCTTAACGTCTGTTTAATCAAAATAAGGAACAGGGAGAGGCTTGCAAAGCTCTGGGAGTTGAGACTCAGGTGCAGGGTCTCATTGCAGGTCTTCAGGCTCCATTGAATCCCCGTGGGGTTCTTGTGCTGAGAGAGGGAGACAGGAGAAAGGGTTAGATACATTTAGCAACCTATAGGATGGGAAATTGCTGACCTATTTTAAACGTACCTTGTGTTTTCACTCTCACTTAAGTCCCTCTCCCTTTGCCATCAATCCAAAATCAGCTGAGCTGCAACATAATACAGACGGGTAATAATCAACAGAATCTAATATTAAGTCCCCAAATAAATCCTCCCTAATTGATCTCATTTTAACTAATGTTCCCTATAAATACTCAGTTGTGGGAGTATTTGCGAATGATCTGAGTGACCACTGTGTTGTAGCCCCAATTAGGGACACTAAGGTCCAAAAGGTTAAACCTCGTATTATCATCAAGAGAGACATCAAACATTTTGTGGAGCAGGGTTTTGTGCATGATCTGTTTGGGTTTGATTGGGGAAAAATCGATCTGTGTGCTGATGTAGAAACAGCATGGTCTTATTTTTATCTTGGTTTTATGGAAATTATAGATAGACATGCACCCCTGCGTAAATTTAGAGTGAAGGGACGAGACAATCCTTGGTTTTCTGCTGAATTATCTATTCTCCTACATGAGAGAAACAAGGCCTGGGCAAAGGCTAGGAATTCAGGCTCAGAGGTAGAATGGCTGCGTTTTAGGCAGCTAAGAAATAGCTTCACTTCACATGTCAAAAGTGCTAAATCTAAGTATTATCTGTCAGTTACCACAAAGAACCTGAACAACCCTAGAAAATTCTGGAAAGCCATAAAATCGATATCCACCGGTGATATCCGTAATGAGCTACCTCCGTGCCTTACCACAGTATCTGGCACTATATCGGATAGGACCACCATACTAAATTGTTTTAATGAGCATTTTGTGTCCTGTGGCTCTCTGTTTCATTCTGTTTCTAATTCTGCTTCTGTGAACACCACAGTCGGTGACTCAGAACAATGTGGTCTGGAAAACCCCTTCAGTTTTACTCCTTTTACTGTTGATGTTGTTCGTGAAGTCTTAACCAAGCTAGATCCTAAAAAGCCGGCTGGTCCAGACAACGTAGAACCTTTCTTTTTAAAGATAGCTGCAGATTGTATTGCTCCACCTCTTACTACTCTTTTTAACCTCTCCCTCAGCACGAACAAAATCCCAAAAGTATGGAAGTCAGCTTATGTCCTGCCACTACTAAAAGGAGGGGAGGCCACCTTATTAAACAATTATAGACCCATCTCTAAGTTGTCAGTTCTGGCCAAGGTTCTTGAACGCTTAGTGAGTGAACAGGTAAAGGAGTTTTTATGTAACAATGACATCCTGTCTAAACATCAGTCAGGCTTCAGAAAGCAACACAGCACCATCACTGCCACAATGAAAGTGGTAAATGATATTACGAGTATTTTAGATAATAAGCAGAGTTGTGCAGCTCCATTTGTTGACCTATCCAAAGCTTTTGATACTGTCGATCATTGCATTTTGAAGCAAAGGCTGGTCAGTATAGGCATGTCCAGCCATGCAGTAGGGTGGTTTGTAAACTACCTCTCTGAAAGATCCCAATGTGTTCAGTTTGATGGGCTGTCTTCTGAGTGGTTAAACATCACTAATGGTGTACCACAAGGTTCAGTTTTAGATCCGCTATTATTCTCTATCTATATTAATAGTTTAGGTGAAAATGTCGAAGGAGCAACCTTACATTTTTATGCGGACGATACCGTTATGTACTGTGCAGGTCCCTCGATTAACGAGGCTGTTGTTAAATTACAGGCTGTTTTTAACATTATTCAGGCTCAGCTCTCTGAGCTTAAGCTTCTTTTAAATGTGGATAAAACCAAGGTAATGCTCTTTTCTAAAGCTAAAAATACACCAGAGACTGCGTTGGATATTGTAACTACGCAAGAAATACAACTTGAAGTGGTTACCTGTTACAAATACTTGGGTATCTGGCTTGATGACTGTCTCACTTTTAAACTTCATGTCAATAACCTGCTTAAAAAGCTGAGGGTTAGGCTAGGTTTCTTCTACAGGAACAAGTCCTGTTTCTCGCTTGAGGCCAGGAAAAGGCTAGTCACTGTGACCTTTTTACCTGTGCTGGATTATGGTGATTTGTTATATATGAATGCACCTGCCAATTACCTGAGCAAGTTAGATGCTGCGTATCACAGTGCACTGAGATTTTTGACAAATTGTAAAGCACTTACGCATCACTGTACCCTGTATACCAAGGCGGTTATGCTATCACTTACTGTACGGAGGCTCAGTCACTGGTACTTTTTCATTTACAAAGCCATGTTGGATAAACTACCATCTTATATCTGCTCCCTGATCTCTCTGCGAATTGAAAGTACTTATTGCCTGAGATCGCATGCTGTGGTTTTATTAAATGTGCCAAGTGCTAGGACTGTCTTAGGGAAGAAAGCTTTTAGATGTGCAGCTCCACTAACATGGAACAGTCTGCAAAAAGAATGGAAAATTACCAAGCTAGTACCACTACATGTTTTTAAAGCTCGGTTGGATGCTACAAAATCAGATGCTGTTGGTACCTGTACTTGTGGTTAAATATGTAAATTGTAATCCCTGTACATTTTGCTGTATGATGTCCTTTTGTTGTTCTGTTG